GCTACTAAACAGGCCATCAGCCGCAGGACGCAGAGCCATGCAGTGCCTTCACAGCCACGACTTGCATACTGCACTTTTTAGGGCTTTTATTGTGAAGGGAAAGGGGGCATTTATCCGAATGTGCAGTCTAAGTTGTACGTATTTCCTGTCATTCTATAAGAGTGAATCTGTGAGGCACACTTTTGCTGTTAAACTTTGAAATTCAGTATTCCAGATTATTATAATATTGTCCACTAACTAGTTTATAGATTTTAAAAATAAAATGCATTCTACTGTTAAAAATTCTATATAAATAAATAAATAAATAAAAACCTGAAAGAGCCTAGGAAAACCCTTTCTTTCAGAGGTTGTTCAGTTTCACCCCATCATAGCCTAGTAAAGTCATTTTGGATATGACACGCAAGTGTCCTGCCTAAAAGGTCAGGTAGAACATTTCTTTTGTGTTTAAAGTGAGGAAAAAAGAAAGTGCCTCAATGAGAAGTGTCCCTAGAGGAATGTGGGAAGAACCGGAACGTTGCTAAGCCCAGGGAGACAGGAGGGCCCATTCTGGTTGCACAAGGGAAAGGTGGCGCAGTCAGGAGAGCCTCTTCTGAGCGTGGAAGACTTCCTGTGACCATGAAGGGCTGACAGGTGTGTGACAAAGACAGCGGGTGTGTCTGCGGTGGGAGAGGCAGCTGCGGGGAGAAAGACCCCTGAAAATTATGCCCGAGTTTATTCCAGGACTGCACAGGGTACAGAACGGAGTCCAAGCAGGTCAAGAGGTGACCTCCAGGGCAGCCTCCTCCCTCAAGCAGTCCGACCAGGTCTGGCCAGAAGCATTGCCCTCTGAGAGACCACACTCTACCCAGACAGTCATCCCTAAAATGACTCTCCTCCTGCTGCACTGTCCCTGGGACACGTGCCACGCAGTGGTTGGTCCATAGCTGTCGAGTCACAGGAGTAGATACTCGGGTAAGACTGGCAGCAGGGGCCCCCACAATGGACGGGTGAGGAGCCCGCTGCCAGGGGAACTTTCTCAGCACAGTGACTGAGCTCAAAGACTGCCCGGTGCCTTTCTTGCAACAGCATCACATTTGTTTGTATCACATTTGTTTGACGTTAAATGAATGAGTTAAGAACCCACTACAGGCTAGAGACTGTAGCTAGGCCTAAGAGTGTGGTAAGAAGGGAAAAGAAAGGCAAGATGAATAGAATTAGAATCTTTTGGGGGAAGCTCAACCCAGAATGTCAAAAAGAAGCAGACACAAAGCGCTAACACACACAGCAACCCTGTCGTTTGCTTGGGGGAAAAGCTCTCAAAGTTGTCATAAAGAAAAAGTAGGAGTTGGCCAGAGAAGTAACCAGTGTACCAATGAGTAAAAATGCAAACCCTGGAACGGAATAGTCCTGGGTTCAATTGTTAGCTTACTCATTTACCAGATTATAAAACCTGAATCGAGCCCTTAATCTCTCTGGCCCTTAACTTTCTCATCCATACAGTGGGACTGATTCTACTCCACTCAGAAAGAGAATGAAATGAGATGATAGCTATAAAGTTCTCAGCACAGTGCCAGCACAAAGTAATCACCTGCAAGTGCAGAATAGACTAATGGTGCACTGAGAAACCCCCGCCTCAGAGAGGCCCAAAATTCAAGAAGGCTTTGGTTCGCAATCTTCAACGGCCCTCTCGGCAGGGAGAGCATGTTGGCATGGTGGGATGTGCTAGCACCGTGGAACGTTCTTGTATCTTGGATTATGAAATATACAGATACATTTATTCTAACCCTCTCTTAATCTCTTCTGGCTCCTGGGCTTCGCAGAGTAAGTCACATTCAGTCTATAACTTCAGATGCCAATGAGGAAGAACTGTAATGGCAGCCACTGTCTCACCCCTATGCCCGGTGCACTACCCCCCAAGTGTACTCGGCTTCCTTCATAGGGCAAGGCTGCCCCTGCCCCAGCTACACCTTCCTTGTGTGCTCCTTCCCTGTCCTGTCTTGAAAAAACAAAAGAGTAGGAGGAAAGGGGGAATTCCAGTCTAGTTTAAACAGCGCAGTAGGAAATGGCATTTTCACAAAGAGGAAATTAAGCCCTTTCTGTGACCATATAAAGTTGTGCTAATGTTGGCTCAGCCGCCCCCTCATATGCTCAGACTGTAATGCCCTGAGGTGTGGAACCTCCCAGGGCGAGGTTCCCAGCTGCTTCTGGAAGTCCCAGCTGCTGTGGAGGTGACAGGGAGCTCAGGGCACAAGGGGCCTGCTGAAGGTCTTCTAGTTCCAGAGGACCTCGCTACCAAGGCTGGCCCCCTCTGAGGACAGCCGATGGGTGGCAGAATAGTTAATACAATGGTCCAAAGTGCAGTCCATTTTACCTGGCGTGTTCGGGCCCGGCGTGGGCAGTGCCCACCCTCAGAAGCGCACCTCTGCTCTGCTGCCCCCAAAGACCCATTGGGTGGAAAACCACCTGCGAGCTCCAGCTCTGGCCACTGGGCCTCTCTGTGACCAAGAAAAGGTGGGCTAAAAAAAAGAAAAAGAAAAGGTGGGCTTACAGGGCCTTGTTTGAAGATGACGTTAACTGAGAGCTGGACAGCTGCCAGTCACATTGAGGAGAAGCAAGTCGCTGTCACTTGATGTTTTTTTAAAAGAAAGAACAGCACCTGAGTTCGGAAGCTGCCTAATTTATCTTTAGAACAAGGTGATATATAAATAAAATCAGTAAATCACAGAATTGGAGGAGATCCAACTGCTCAGAGTTAGGGAAGAAACTTTGAAAGAGGTCAAACCTACAATTCCCTGTATTAAACTATGCCTGGAGCACAAAACAAGAGTTATAGGGAAGTCAACTATATCCCATTTTTTAACAGAGGGGAATTAAATTAAAAGACTGGCTTTTAAAACTGCTCCTAATTGCAATCACTGTGCCTTTTTGAATCTTGAAATACTCCCAATTCCTTACACTGCAGTAATAACTCCTCTCACAAGCTCTTAAAGGAGCTGTCAATAGGCTTCCATGAACTTTGAATTGTTCCAATTTCATCCCCGTTTGGAGGCTGAGAAGTTAAGTGCAGCCTTTCAAAGTAGGAGTGGAGGCCTTCTCACAAGGGGGAGGGGAAGGGAGGGGAGGGGAGGGGAGGGGAGGGGAGGGGAGGGGGAGGGGAGGGGAGGGGAGGGGAGGGGAGGGGAGGGGAGGGGAGGGGAGGGGAGGGGAGGGGAGGGGAGGGGAGGGGAGGGGAGGAATGTGGTGCCACAATTCTGTCTTGACAATAGTAAAAAGAAAGAGAGAGAGAAGGCAGGGAGGGAGGGAGAGAGAGAGGAAGGAGGAAAAGGAAAAAAGAAAGGAGGGAAGTTATGGGAAGGGAAGGAAGGAAGGAAGGAAGGAGGATATACTGATAATTATGCTAATCATGCTCTAGGATTCCAGGAGCAAGGAGTTGGGCATGTGAGTGTCCAGAAGTGTGGAAGCTCTGAAATGGTGCAATACAACCTGTGCCACCCCGGTTTTAGTCTCTATGTTAGCAATGAACCTCTTTGGCTCACTTTTAGAAATTACAGGCATAGGTGTCTGACCTAGCTTCCTTTCACCCAAAACTTTTAGGGAGTTACTATGGAGTTAATTAGTAGACTGATATGCTTCTTAGCTCTACTCTAATTCCTTTGGTGGAAGAGCTAATAAGAACAATATACAAAAGATGGGAAAAATAAAAGGAGATGTGGCAAAATAATCTACACATAATAAATCTCAAAAAATGTGGGGTCAGATCTGTCACATTTGAGACCTAGTCCATGACAGGTGGGCACCAGTCCAGCATGGTACATTGGGAGAGTACTTTAGCGTGGCGCACAGGGCATCTCGTTTAATCCTCTAGCAACTGTGGGCGGGAGCGGAGCGGGTCTTCCTGTCTGTCGCTGCAGGTGAGCGGTGTATGAGTGGACAGGGTTAAACAGTTCAGGGTCACACCGCTAACCATAGGGAACCACACTCGAATTCACAGATTGAGACTCCAGATCCCTGATGCTCTTTCCAGTGTGTCTCAGAGTTCTGTTCATTTGCTGAGGTAGGAAATAATTTCCCAGTGGCCCGAAAGAGTAAATGGGGTCTCTAACACCAGCGTTAGTGCCAAAAAGTCACTTTAACTATAGAGGACAAGAGCTCGATTGATTCTCGGCTTTTCTAAGGTGAAATAAAGCTGAAGTATATACATGATTAGCCCAAAGCTCACACAAAAAGAGTGTTGTGCTTCAAAGTAGTAATCTTTGGAAGCAGTGCGGCAATTCTTCCAAGGCTGCGTGCCTAACAGGTTGTTGTTTTTAACTGTTCATTAATAGTTGCCTTTGGACCCAGATTTCAAACTGCATAATAAAACATTCACGTTACTTTGTAATTGCACCAGGTTAATTCTGCAAACAAAAAATACTGTTACCTACCAGACTTGACCTTATTTTTACACCAAACTTAACTTTATTCTCTATGAAGTCAAACTTACCTTTCGAGGATGAAAAATGGACACATTGCCCAAAAAGGAATATTTTTAAATGCTTTGCTTCGATGGCAACATTAAGATTAGTGCACCTCCTACCATGAGGACCCTTTGGAACTGGCCAGGACTGACAGAGCTGTATGATTGTGGTTTATTTTGAAACCACCCATATCAAATATTTCACAGTAACCCTAAGTCTCCCCATATTTTGCAAATGGCAGAAAGAGGAGCCAGAGCTTATAAGAGAAGAAAATAGGATTTCAGGAGATTTGCGTCCCCTACCCCTGTAAATGACAGCAGCAACATTACAAGTTGGCGCCATTGTTACAAAGATAATCAAACATTGATCTGGACTGTTCTTTGATCTCCAGACCAGCCAAAAGGTCTTAACAAATATTGGCCATTTATCAAAACCTCGCCTAGCATGAAAAGTATTTTGGTAACAGAATCAAGACCCTGGGTTTTGTACAGCTCTGACTTCTGTGCGGACGGAGCTGCAGGAAACACCTTTCTCACCTGCTCTCTGGGCCTTCCCCCCCCACAGGCAGCATCGCCGCCATTACAGTGGCTGTCATCGCCGTGGTGCTGATGGTGTTTGGAGTCGCAGCGTATCTGAAGATCAGGTGAGACCCCCCCTCTTCTTTACAAGGGGAAGGATTCCATTTTGTGGGGCTCCAGGCTGAGAGTTGTGCTGAATGTGTGTTTCTTAGTAAGTATCGTAGTTCTCGATGTATTGGCAGGGAGGTGGAAATGGCCAGTGTACTCCACAGTGGACAAGAATAGAGGGTGCAGTGTCTGCACCTTGGCAAAGCAGAGGAAGTCAGCTGAAATGCACAACATGATGATGTAATGGAACGAGAATGAACCCGGAGTCAGGAGACTGAGGCCCCCCCACTCCGCCCTTAACTCACCCACTCACCCAGAGGGAGGAGTCCCGTGACTCCTGGCCCTGAAGGGGTCTCACCTGTGGAGTGGGCGACTGGGGCGAGCTCAGTGGGTTCCTAAATACTGAAGTTCTAGACGCTGGCGTGTGGACATGTGCTCAGTCTGTAAGGAAGCTTTCACGGTACTAACGCAAAATGCTGCAAAAACCGGAATGTGTGGTGTTTTATATAAAATTATCCCCCCTCGAGATTATATCCTCATGTTTTTCATTTAAAAATATCTTCTGTTATGAAATGAAGGTGATCACAGATCATAGCTGAGATTTTACCTTTTTTAGACAAATAGAAAGTGGCAAAACCCTGGGAGCCCCCACTTTGTCCACTGCTCGGTGAAACCCTAGTTTCAGAACCACATCACTCACCCTAAATGTCCTTCCACCTGTGTAATGCCAAATGTCAAGTGACAGTCCTATTTGCCAGTCTGTGCAGTGCCCCTAAAAAGGGACAGAAGGACATGTGCCACCATGGTGAGCACAGCCACTCCTGGAAGTTTGTCTCCCCACAGCTGGAGCCGTCTTTACGGAAGCTCCTTTGACCCTCTCCCTCACTCCCTTGAAAGCCCCAGTGGCTTCCCAGGCCCTTAGAATTGAATCCTAACCCCTCAGGTTGGCCCTCGAGCTCATCCATGGACCCATCCTTGCCTACCTCTTCTCACTCATCACAGCTGCCTCCCCTTTGTAACCACTGAGCTGCAGTCACACTGGCTTTCTGTCTGATGCTTACAACATGCCGTTACAACATAAGATAGAAGAAACATCGTACCAGGACAATGACACCTCAGTCCCCTTCAAAGTAGACACCTCACAGTTCTCCCAGTCGCCATCAGCTACCCTGTCATATTTTCTTGAATCTCATCAGTGGTATGAAATCTTTCCCTTTCAAAGGTGATTTTAATTTTGGGAAAAGCCAGAAGTTGCAGGGCACCAAATCTGGGCCGTAGGGGGGCTGAGTCACCTGAGTAATTTGATGTTTTACAAAAAACCTCTGCACGAGATGTGAGACATGAGTGGGCATGTTGTGGTGATGAAGCTGTCAGTCACCAGTTACCCATAACTGTGGCCTTCTGAATCATCTGAATAATTTCTGTGGAGAAATGTTCAAGCTTAACACAAAATTTGATGCAGATTTGTTGCTCTACCTGCTCAGTCATCTTGAATGCAACAGCCACACGGTACAAATGCTCACTCAATGGTGTCTACCACCCCCACTGACTAGTGCAGTAAAGTTGTCATTGTTCACACATGCACATACCAGTCCACTCTCCTTCACTGCCAAGTTATATCACTGTCACTTGAACCATTCTTGTTATCGTAACAATGGCTGGATTTGTCCCAGACAGACCCACCACAGTCACTTGGGCACTGTTGTGTGCACCCACATACCCTCCTGACTGACTTCTCTCCGTACAGCTGTGCTTCTTCCTCGAGAGGCACCCTGTCCCTCCCTCCCTCCTGCCTTGGCTCCCCATGTGGACCTCACGTATTCACATTCTCATCCCTAGGCACACATCGTCTTTGCTGCCCCTCATCTGGCTGTTCCTCATCAACTCTAGTCACCCTGAACAGACCAACGCCCACTAGGGAACTCTCTCCAGCTCCTTCTCTTTTATCTCCCTCCACCTTTTGTTCTAAATGTGCACCCAGTCAATCGAATGGTAGTGCCAAGTATAAGAGTGTCCTGTAATGTCATCTATTCCTAAGGTACAAAGAATAGGAAAGCCAGATTTGGAAAAGAAATTGGAATTAAAGGGTCAGTACTGCCTGTTGTTTTTTTTTTAAGTCTTTATAAAAGCATCCTTAAGTCTTCTTCATATAAAAAACACTCTCTCTTCATTAAGTCTATATTTCCTAGGGCAGCAAAGTTAATTTTATTAATCATATCTGACTGAATGGTACTCTCTTTCATCTGGCTTAATTACTAGTTTATTATTGCAGATACATTGTATTTTAATTTTGAGTTAAATTGCATTTATGAACTAGTCTAGGAGCCTCAGTCCCTATTTGTAACAAAGTTTCTTTCTCTGTTGGGGGTGGGATGTCAGTGCTCCAAAAAAGAGACCTACAGATTAGTTTAGAGTCATTCTGGAATCACCACTGGTGAGTCTCTGAAAGGGCTATGTCACCAAAAACACAACCTTCATTGGGGTGTGGCTTGAAATAGAAATTCTTCCCTCTTGCCACATACTTGCCCCAAATGATGTTGAAATAACTTAAGGACCCTTTTCTTGACTCCAAGAAAGCATTCAAGTTTACCATCTCAAACTCATCACCACTGTGGACAGGCAGTCTCAAACAGCGACTAAGAAAGAATCCAGACCCCACAAGTAGGGAGGACTTGATTGAAATCCCATTTGTACCACGTTGGAGCCGGTTCTCCTGTGACCTGAGCATGTTACGGAGCTTCACTCACCCTCACGTCCCTCCCTGGGAAAGTAAGCGCTGTGATTCTTACTCCTTGACAGCATTACCGAGGGGATTACTAGGTACCGCTTCCAGAGTACACACACAGTCCTGCCACTGCTGCAGTCATCATCATCATCATCATCAAAGTGGGCAACGGGAAGGGTCCCCAACAACAGGACAGCTGCTTGATGACAATTACTATTGGCCACCTGCCAGGAGCCCTTCTGAGCCTGGGAGCAGGGGGATCACATCAGTGACGGGACACAGTCCTGCCACCACAGAACTTGCTGCATTTGAAAAATTTCATTAGCAGGCTATTAAAATGGGTCCTAATGAGTGCTGATTAAAATTGCATAACATTTTATTCTAGAAATTTAAACTATATTTTCTCAAGGCATTCTCAACACTAGATAAATGTGGCGAGTGATGAAATGGAATTAGCCGTGGTTTCTCTCCCCCAGATAGGTCCTCCCTCTAGAGTGTAGAAAGGCCCCCAGTGGTATAAGGGTCGCTGTTCATCTTTGGCACAACAAACTTAGGAATGAATAAAGGGATCAGATCGCTGTTTGAAAACCCCCTAAGGAAAACCCCATTCTGTTGATCCTTTAATTATTTTGGCAAAATGACGACATAAAGAGGTTAATAACTATCATGAATCTTAAGGCTGAGCTAAAAAACCTCTTCAAGTGTTGTTTGCAGGTTCTTGGAAAGCCCCACTAATCATTCATCAAAAATACATTTGGCTCAGTTGACAGATGCATGCGTGTGCATGTGTGTGTACCCAAGGCTGGGTTTTGCCTTGGCTGGAAAATTTATTTTATTCCTATCATCCCAGATTTCTGAGAACAATAACACAACAAGAGGCCTGTTGTCTGTGGCTATTTAGCTCACTTGGCTGGAGTAGCAAGTGACTGAATTCACAACCCACGAGGGAACCATTAGATTCTGGCCTGAAACACAGGCTATGTCCCTGCAAATGCAAACAAAGAATTCACTTTGAGAGGTCAGCCTCCCAACCAGAAAAAGGGTGCACCTTGCAAGCTCTACTGATAGTACCTCAGCAATTTCACCTTTGCCCCCAAGATCTACTTCCCTTGGAAAGCATCAGTAGACTCATTAGCTATCTGTTTTCACACTCCTATTCTTTGGGGACCAGGACCACTGGTTTTGTAACAGTGTCCTCTGCCTAGAGAACCACATTTTCTGAGAGGTGAGCCACTTTTTGGATGTGGCTTCCAGAACCTTCCAGGGCTCTTCTCTGTTATCAACCCACCCCCACTGCCATTTTAGCCAGCAGCAGTGTGGTTCGGTTCTACTTACCATTTAGGCAAATTATAATCTCCTTGATATTTAATATTTTCATCTGCAAAAGTAGCATTCATAATACCTCTCTTTCAAGCTTGTTTCAAAAATGAAGTAATAAACGGAGAGTCCCTGGAGAGACCGGATAGCATGGTGGTAAAGAACACGGACCGCGGAGCAAGGATACTAATCTGTAAAATAGGACTATACTGATACCTAACTCATGATTGTTACAAGGGTTAAATGTGATACAAAGAAACACGCAGTGACAGGTATGAGATGAGGATGATGGAAGGGCTAACGACTGTTGTCATTAAAACAATGCTCACTACTCAGTGCTTAGTAAAACGGTAAGTGCCAACAGTCCCACCCAGTTGGCATCGGGGAATCGGAGCAGAAGGGATTCCTACCACGGGGGGAGAAATGGCACAGCAGCTTCGTTTTCTCATGTCCCATCCGGCAGGTTCAGGTGTGCTTTTTCTAAATGCCAGTGAAGTTGCATCCATGTCATAAATTCCTAAACAGAAACAATCTCTGAGCAGTCTGTATTCCAAGGCTTGTTTGCAAGTTTAAAAGAAAGCAAAGGCCTTGCCTGCCTCTTGCAGAAGGGTGCCTTTAATTAGTGATGATTGAAGAATGAGGTAAGTCGAATTTGTTTTATTTGAATTGGCTCAAAACCGTTCAGCCACGAGATAATCCCCTGCGCAGGAGACCCTATCTGCTATCGCCAGCAACGTGGATGCTGCTATAATTAGGCGTGCTGGTAACCCAGACAGACAAGACGGCTGTTCCCTTCACAAAAATAAATGTGATATTGATTTACAGACACAACAGGACCTCACTCTGAAGGTATCTTGTTAGAAGTCACCTGTTTTGCTTTAAGTCTTCTGGTAATTATATTTTATACAACTGGATTCTTTCTGGTTATTATTAGGTTTAAAGAGTAGGCCCAGCCAGTCATAAAGGCTAAGATCT